GACAGCAATGAAGCTTGGCTAGCTGAAGATCAGTTTTTCACTGGATTCTTTTTGTGATCTGTGCATCAATGCTGGGCCTTGGGTGAAGGCTGACAGCACACACATCCCACTGGGTTTTGCCCTTGCAGTACCCCAAACACAAGGTTCCAGCTACCTCACCTGCCCCTAGCTGAGGGCTGAGAAGAGAAAGAGGCATATCCTTGCTGCTACTTCAGTTCCTGGTGAACTGCTGAATCCCCACAGCAAGAACTACAAAGGGTATAAAAACAGGGAGGAAGCAAATGCATGACACAGGCTAAGGAATGAAGTTTCTGGAAAATAATTCTGCTAATTTGAGTTGCCATGAGCAGTGATTCCAAACAATAATACATTCTCTTGGTTCATATTTGTACATGGTGGTAGAAAATTAATCACTGTGTGGGATAGTGTGAATTTTTTTCCACAGGCAATACTACTAATCTGTCACCTGCAACATTCACCTGGGACACTTCCCAGGTGTCCTTACACCTGTGGTACAAACAGAAATGAGAGGGCTACTTAGATAACAAAAGGAAAATCCTTTTCAAGGCCCACAGTGTCAGATTCAACTCTAATTGACCTATATGATAACATCAGGTGGCCCTGTATTCTGCAGTGCTCTTGATCTTGCAGAAAAGCAGTGCAGATAGTGTAGTGAGGCACCTGGTCCCATTCTCACAATTTATTAGGGCTGTGAAGTGTTGCCTAAATCTTGAATGCACGAGGCTTGAAAGGGGGAAAATAATCCAACCAACCAAATACAGAAAGGCTGATCCCTCAGTCAAGGTGGAACTGAGAGTCCACCCATCCGAAAATTTCAAATGGGTTCTCTCTGGGCACACCTGATGGAGATGATCTGTGACAAGAGCCCAAACCTCTCTCACCACGTACGTTACTACAGCCAAGACATTTTAGCACTCTAAGATGATGTCACAAGGGGTGGAAAATGAGATTCTGAAATTTATATCCCAAGAGACAGCAGAGATCTTTAAGGGCAAATGACTGGTTGAAGGAAGCACTGCAGGGCAAGGGGGCTGAGGAAAGAAAAACAGCAACAGCAATAGGCACAAATGGCAGCTAGGCAGGGCCTCAGCCAAAAGAAAAGCCAGGCTGGTAGTCCTGACATGTTCTGGAAGCTAAAACAAAGACTGAGAACTGAGCAAGAGGAACAAGCATATGGTTTGAGAACCCAGTCAATTTCATCATGTAATGTGAATTACACAGAGCTGTTCTTGCCATTAATCATTACCTCTCTCCTACAGCAGGAAAGCAAGCATGCTCTGCTGAAAACTGCATTCTGACTTCAAGCAAGACACAGGAAGGCTGGAAGACCAGGGTCTAGGACTTGGTGCTGCCACTTCAAGGAGAGAGGCAAGGAACTCAGTTACAAGCAAGGAAGATTCCAACACGGAAGAGTTCAGTTAAGGAGAGGGCTCTTCATAATGGCTCTTTATTCATCCTACAGGATGAATGCTTGTCTATTGATCCCTATAGCAACTGCTATTCCAGCAGCAATCCTATATCAGTCCCTTTGGCCCCAAAGCCAGAAGGAACAGGGGAAAGGAGACAACAAGAGATGGAAACTGATGAAGGGCATAGCTCAGCCTGTAACTGCCTAACTGCTAGGTGGCAGCAGAATGCAGAACATCCTGGAGCATCAGGCAGCTCTCCGGCTCTCCCACAAGGCTGTGCAAGGAACATTATTTTTAACTAAGTCCTCTCGGAAGCTGCTCTCATCTGCACCCTGCAGCAGAGGAACCTGGTTCTCTCACACACCCAAGGAACAGCTCTTGATGGTACAGGCAGAAATTTCCCTACTTCCAAGCTTCTCCTAGAAGGAAAATCAGATCAGAGTAAAGCCAGAAGTGCAAAACATACATGCAACAGCTGAATGAAGTAAATTGTGATTGGTAGATATGATAGGGACATAACACTGATGCTGTGGGAAAAAAAGGAGAATATCCAACAGCTTTGGAAATATGCTGCTTCTAAGCAGAGGACAGTCATTGGGATCTTGGCCTTGCTTACACATAGCAGCTAAATGGGTTCTCTTTCTCAACAGGCTAAACCACCAGCAGCAGCACTCCAGCTGAGCTGAACTCAGGGACATAACATACTGGTATCTCTGGCCAGAATCAGTCACGGACACTGAAAGGAATAAACAGACGGCCTGATGTTCCCAACAAGAAAGCTGACATCATGGCCAACTTCCACACTGGATGTGATAACAGCATTTCAAAAGCTTGAAGTAATATGGGGAGCAGAAACGCTTCAATCTGCATACTCCAGAGCTGAGAAGTGGAGCAGAAATGTGTTTTTTCTCTTGAAGAGAAGCTGCTTATTTCCTTTGGAATTGGAAGGTCTAACCAGCCTGAGACTAGAATTGCCACATCTGCAAGGGATCCAGGTGTACAGCTATCAGGACACAACAAATGCTTTCTTTAGGGGAATTTTCTGAAGCTGCAGCTCCTGGTCTCACAAACCCATGGCTAGAAAGCTCTGACAGCATCAGCTCCAAGCAACTGAGTAACAGCATGTGAGAGTTCTGGCACAGACCCACACAAGTGGCTTATAAAAGGAGGATCTAACTTGAAGAGCAGCTTCTTGTAACAGGACTTGTAAATGGAATGACAGCCAAACCCACAAAATTGCAGGAAGACAGTAAATATGTATTCAGAGACTATCATAGTGCTCAAGGAGAAAAAATCAAAGGAAACTGATCACAAGGTGGGTTTCTTTAAATCAGACTGTTGAAAGGAGCTCAAATGCCACAGTGAGCAGTGCGGGCGCTAAGAATGAGGGAGGCAGGTGACACACTAAAGATGCTGAGGAAGCAAAGCATTCTTTGATCTGGAGATGATGCACCATCTGGTCAACAAGCACTCAAGCTATTCCACAACAAAACACCGTCTCTTGGCCATATACCAGAAATTGAAGGTTACAGCACTAGTAATTAATTTCTTAATTTCTCAATGCTCAGAAGAGAGAAGCAGCCCAAACACATGACTGTTTGGAGAAGCACATTAATTGGAAATGTGCTGGCACAATACTGACAAGAACTGACATAAAAACAGCTTTAGAGAGATGCCAGAACACGATGCCTCAGCACCTTAATGGGACAGGAGGAGGCAGAGGGGAAGCTCTACCTCACCATCACAGGCATTCTGATACAAAACCCTGACCAGAAAGCAGACACTCACCTACCTCCCAGCCTGGTGTTCATACGTGCCACAGTTAGCTTAAGGGGAAACCAGAAAACTTTATAGCAAGCCAGCCTCCTATAAAAGTTTAAAATAGTAACGCTATCATCTCTTGGGTGTTTTTTTTTTTCTTGACACTTAAAATCCACTGTTGAAGCAGGAGGGAGACTCAGCTTTCCCTGGGCACAGAGAAGCAGCACTGTCCCTCAGACAGCAGCCAGGGTTCACTTGCCCCCAGTGGCACGTTAAAAATCTCAGCACTGGGTAACTAATGAACACTTACACAACTACAGTGCAGACAAAGAACCTGAGCTTTAATGTGACTTGAAATTACTAAGGCCAGATCCACAGCTCATATGAATGTGCCCTGAGATTTTAGCACGAAGCAACTTCCAAATGCCTTGTCTTCACTGACTGGGTTTGTTTCTTTAACTCTAAGCTGGCTTTCACAGGACAGCCAGACTGAAGTAAAAGTATGCTTGTAATTCACTAGGAAAGCAATATTATTTTTAGCAATGAGGAAAAAAATGCAATCAAGAAATCTTCCAGATACTTCTGTAGTACAGACAAGCATGTAAACCCTGGATGGAATTCTGATATAAAAGATGTTTATCTTAGATATTCTGAATGAATTCTTATTTTCTTTTGTTTAAAGTTGTTTTCCTTTAAGAAAAAAACCCCATCAAACTTATTTTTTTTTAGCCAAGAAAAAAAAAAAATAATTGCTTTGGATATTTTTTCTGTTAACAAATTCTGAAAATTATGTTTTCAAAAAATAATAAAACCTGTTTAAATTTTTCACTTGCAATACAATTTCATTTCTTCATCAGCTGTAATAAATTTATTTTATTTTCTAATCATTATTAATTTTGACTTCTGTACCATAATATATACATTTTCCTTCCAAAAAAAGTTAACGAAGCAAGAAACTCCAATAGCAACTTTCTCTAACAAAGTCCTAGCAAAACTACCATTCATAGGTAGTTTGTTCAAGGTATTCTAAACACTTGGATAGCGTGGTCTCCAGTCTCTTGCCTGCTCTGTTTTGTGATTTCACTGTGTAACTGTCAACATTTATTTAAATTATATTAATTCCACTTGTTAGTGCCACTGATTAATTCAGTAATTCAAGTCAGAAAAAAAAATTAAATTGTACAAAATTAGATTGACATTAGACTGAAAGACACACTTCCAACACACAAAGATGTGTTGCCAATAATACACAACATCATTGGGAAGATGGTCTAAGTATGTATTATCTAAAGTAAAAGACTATCTAATCTCCCATTTCAGCTCTCCACTAAGGCTTGACAGAAAATAGGATTATCTCTTTATCCACAGTAGAAATCTGCAACATTTTACAGAGTATTATTTCTTATTGCAAGAGGACACAGTCCCTGTTCTTTGGTGCATCTGATATGAGCTGTCAAAAATTATGAACTCAAATCCATATTTATGCACTTACAGTACTGGTGCTTTGCACCTAAGAAAACACAGAGCCTTTTATCTAGATATGCCAACACCTATTTCTTAATTAGTGACTTTGACAAGCTATACAAAAGCAAACCAGAACAACCATACCGTTGCCTAAAATTCAGACTGAAGGTTACAGTTTAACAATGAAGACCATGGATAGAAACTGTAATTGCCAGTCAACAATATTTTATTAAATTTGATATTTAGCAACCAGAAAAGGAATATTTGTGTAATGATGCAAAATATAGGAATGGTTAATGCAAATCAACATGAAGACACAGGATAAAACATCAATATGCACATTACCTTAGCATTCTCAAGCAGAACTTCATCTCTGCCTAAGCCAGGTCCTATGACAACCGAGTGCAGCCGTGGTAACCACTTTTCCACCTCATGGACAGCATTGGGACTATCACTACAAGGAAGAGCGGAAAAAAAAATTAAGTTTAAAAAGGCTTCATTTTAGTATGAAGTATTTCCTATCTCGAGTGTCAGGCAATTTTATCCTCCAAACTACCAGGAATCTGTGACCCAGAAAATACAGAATGGTTTTCCAAATAGCTAAAATTAAAAATTTCTCTCAATTCATTCTTTAGGGGATACCACATAAAAATGAGGAAGTAACTGCAAGTATCCACTACAGCTCTTACAAAATAAAAAAAATAAAATCTAAGCAGGAAACCAATTTTTAGAGTCTCACAATTCCCTATTTAATGGTTCTTTGCAGAGGTTATACCTTGGAGAGAGATCCACCATCTCCCAGGTATATATTGCAGCTTGCTGGAAATGATGCAATTGTTTATCACCCCAAATGGCAGAATGATAAATGTACTCATATGCTTTTTTGTCAGTTGCTTCATAAGAATTTGTTCCAACTGAATTACAGCCAAATTGTCCCCTTTCCCCAAAAGGCAACAGGAGAAACAAGCTATTCAGTATGGGCATTATCTGCTTGTAATGCTTAAAATTTCTATGGCATTCTGGTTTTTGTCTGCATTGGAAAAATGATGAGAAAATTCACTGCCAAATATAGCTGCCACAATACAGCATTCAGCCACTGACCAGAACCGTTTATTTTGTTCTGATCAGTTTTGTTGTGTAAATAGGTCAGAATATTTTGAAAGCACTGCCCAGCATTTGCAGTTAATCCTTACTGACAGTATGGAGGGAAAATTTAGCCTCCCTCCCCCCCATCTCTGACATTAGTGACAACAATAAATGAACATCCTAACTGAAGCATGGGGGAATAAAGCTCCCTGTGGGCTGAGCAAGGGGGTACTGCCTCACAGTATTGCTCAGATTATTGTAAGCTTGCAATACTCCAACAAAGCTGTATTATTACAGATGAAAGCCACTGCATGTTTTTCATAACCAACAGCTGTCCTGATGGGACACAGCACTCAGGAACAAGTGTTTAGGTTGTGTCTGGCAGAATCAGCAAATTCCACAATGATTTCTGCAAGTGCCAGGCAGCAGCCCAAAGCTTTTGCAGCTGCAGGGAGCGAGGCATCCCGTCAAGGGCGCAGGGATGCGGAGCCTGGCCGCAGCCCAGAGACCCCTCTGCCGACAGGAGCTGCCTCAGGGAGCCCAGAGGCGCCTGTGCTGACACCACAACACAGCTCCGTCAAAGTCAAAACAGGGCTGCTGGGTGCGAGTGAGGGCCCTGCAAGGGCAAGGGGCACAGTGGACAGCAGGACATCGCTGTCCCTGGAGCAGTCCCTGTTCCCGCAGGCTGAACTTCTTCCATTTCAGCACTGCAGCTCCCTCCTCCTCCTCCTCCTTTACCTCGCATGGAAACCAGCTTGAGAACTGTTAAACAGCTCACTTTTATTTTTGTTTATCTCTGGACCATCACATATCAGTTTATGATGTAGATAGAAGATGAAAATAAAAATTATTGAAGAAATAGCTAAAGCACTATTTAAAAAAAAAGACAGATCTTTAATATGTGGTAGGTTGAACATGTGAAAAACAGCCTGCAAACCAAACTCTAATAAAACAACATAATTTCTGAATGCAGACCACTTTTCTTTGTTCACATACTGAACTTCTTTTATCTTTGAAGAGCAATACATATCTCAATATACATACACCATGTAGTTGTAGGAACACTGCAACTTCTAGGTATGCAAGGATGTCTGGACTCAATATACCTTTGGATAGTAGAAGCCAAATACATTAAAAAAAAGCTTCATTAAACATAAGCTAAGAATAGAGCCACAGGTAGTGTTACAAATGCTCTGCTCTTCTACAAATATCTTAAGCAAATAATCTAACCATAAAAAAGTTTGTCAATTTATTTATATTCAGGACTGAAATAAGATAGTTTTGTCTAACAGTCAATTGATAATACGCACTTTTCAAAACAAAGCCATCTCTTGGGAAATAAACAGTCCAACATTAAGCCACTCCTGCACACTTTGCCTCTGGTAATAATAAAACCTACTGTGGAGCTTGTCATCTTCCAAGCATCTTACAAACATTATGTTCAACTCCTTTGCAATGTCACATCAAGAAGCAATCCAAGATGTGAAGGGTCAAGAGATTAAAAATGGTGATAATGACTACTACATTGCAAAATGAGCTATAAAATCATGCTGTAAATAACTGGTGGATTTTGAATTTTCATCAAGAAAGCAGAAAAATACTGTCTCACAACAGCACCATGCCAGCTTCATTTCAGGACACTGGATGTTCACAACAGCTGTGCTACACAGCTACGGACACTGTAGCAATATCCTGCTCCTGCAGCTGCTCTGGAAGTGGAAGGGCTGTTGTGTTATCTACAGATTATGTCCACACATGTACATCAAACCAGCAGCATTTTAAAGCTGATAGGGTGCAAATGACCAACAAGCAGCTTTCTTCAGGCAGGTGTAAACCTTGAATGTTCCCGACCATGGGATTTAGCACAAAGGCAGAAATTCCTCTAGCTCTTACCAGCTACAGTTTACACACGATGTTTGAACACACCCAGAAAAGCTCTCTGACTCTAAGATCAGATGGCCTCTGCACTCTCAGCTTCAAAACAAAGCTCAACCTGCCTGTCAGGCACAGTTCCTGCACCATGATAATTCCTCATCAGTGGAAAAAGTGGCTGGGAGAGGCTAGCTGGCACGGGCCAAAATCCTTGGTAAGGATCATCTGGATAATTAGCCTGTACAGATAATTGTGCCTGGGTACTGAGGAATAAATATTTCTTGGCAGTATTTAGTTTATCATCACAGAAAAAGTCAATGCATGTTCTTGTTTCCCTGTGGATCAATACCAGACACAAATGTCTTTGGGAAAAGCTACTTTGGAGGCACCAGGACAGAATGCCATGTCAGGTCCTCAGCTGCTCTCGGTGCACTACACTCACACAGAGAACAGAGTGAACCTCCTTTGTCACATCATGCCAATTTCTCTGCCTGGCTACCAAACTGATCTCAAATATCTCCTTTTACTTAATCACCTCCACTGCCCAAGACATTGAAACAACAACTGAAATTAGCGTTGTACTTTAAAAAACCCAAACATCTCTCTAGAAAGATAAGAGGTATGGAGAAGACTTCCCCTTTATCAAAAGAGATGTGATCTTCAAGCTTTGACAGAAATTAATCAAGTGAGCAGGAATCACTATTGCCTTTAGAGGTGCAGAGCCATATGATATCCAAATTGATTTTTTTCCAAAGGAGGTATCACAAATGCAGGACCCCCAATCTAAAGCACAAAGCTACTAATAATATAAAGAGAAGCAAGAAAATCTCTTAAGGCCAGGAGAAAACAATATTTCAATTTCTGAGAAGAGAGTAAAAATCTTTAAGACAAACTTTGATTAAATAAAAATCTGGGATTTTCCAAAATAAAGCAAGTTTTTTTGAAGGTGATAGGGTAAGACTTTGGGAACTAGTCTGGCTTTCCCCTAATATAAAAATACAAACTCTGCACCATGAACATACAAAATAGGAATAACTGGGAAGCTGAATCCTAGCAGTAATACCTGTAAACATGGAGAGTGAACTGCAGTACCATTGTGCAGATGTGTGCAAAAAAAGATTCTAGTGACAAAGCACATCAGGGAATATATAGGGAAGGGACAGATCTCCAACAGCTACTTCCAGCCAATCACTAGGTGTTATGTGACATGTTATCGGATGCCATTCTGATGAAAATCTAGATTATTACAACTCTCTGTTGTTCAATCAAGCCCCAAACACTTCCTCAAAACCTTAGCTTGTCTGCAAAGCAGCCAATAAACCTCTGCCTGCACACATTAAAGAACTATCACAGGGTAAACACATAAATGACAACTGCAAGACAACAGAATAGCTAATAAGAAAAACTGAAGGCGCTTCTGTAATTTGTGTCATATCTGTGAAGCTGCACAGGTAAGGAAGAGTCTAAAGCTAATGACAGCAATCACAGAATCAACTTCACAAATTGTCCATTGGTCAGATCAAGCAGACAGAGGGGGTTACATGGAGGCACACGAAGGAAAAGGACACCAGAGATGGGGTCTGATCAGCTTTCCTTGGCTGTAAAGGAGAGGCTGAGATGACTGATGATCTCTTGGGAAGGCAGACACAGCACCTTTATCCTCTGCTGTCCCTGAAGCTGCTGGGTAGACAAGAGCAAGGTATGGTGCTCAGTATCTTGCATGTTTATCTTTTTCCTCTTTTCTCTGCTTACAAAATATATTGAGGAAAGTACTTTCCCTGGCAAAATAGACAAGGATTCTTCAAATTAAACATCACTGAGTCTCTAAAATGGTGAGGACAAATTTTCTTTATAAATTATTAGTAGCCTTAGGTAACTTTTGCCACATTAACCTCATGAAGTTCAAGGAGTGCAAGGTGCTGCACTTGGATTGGGTCAATTCTAGATACGAGTACAGACTGGGAGAAGCCATTAGGGGCAGCCTTGAGGGGAAGAGCTAATAAAGAAAGAAGAACTAAGTTAAGCTTTTATAAGCTTAACTTATCTTCAGAACTCTTCTATATTTCACTATGGCACAATGAAAATTGTCCTAAAACACAGTTCTGTAGATCTTCATCTACAGAAAAAAAAAAAAAAAACAAAAAAACAAACAAGAAATCCCCACCAAACACCAAAGATGGTGGGTACTGCCCTAAAATCACCCACAGTTCCTAAGCACCTTCTAGGGCTGTTTGTAACAGATATCTGACAGGTGCCATCTGCTTGGAAGTCTGCTCTAGGTTGGTCACTGCCCAGAGTGGGGGGACACTTGACAGCAAGGACCTGAAACACCACTCCCATCCCCAACTCTCTGAAAAAATAAAATTTTGTTCTATGCTACATTTTATTCAAAGACTGGCTTTTACCAAATGATCAAAAGCCACCAAGCAACAGCTTTAAATAATCACAGAAAGCTCTAAACACAGCAGCTTTCCCCATTCAGGATGAATGACAGTT